TGCTGAACCAGATCCCAGAGGGTGCCCATGAAAAAATAGTTCTTTCTCCCTTCCAGATGAAGAGCCCTGCTACAGTCATTCAGACTGCCACAGCTGACTCTGCCCTCCTCAGTCTCCAAAACAGCTTTCATTCTCAAACTGTGCACAGAGCTGGTTTAGGGGAGAGTGAATCTTATTAAACACCTCGAGGAGAAAATCGGCATTTTGGGGGGTTTAGCAGGGTTTTGGAAGGACTCATTTGAATTACACTCTTAACAGTAACCTCTGTGCCATGCAGCTGTGGCTTATTTTTGTGGGTTGTGTCAGCATATTTGGCTCCATGTCAGCTTGGTCTTTTTATTTCCCCGTCTCTTCAGGCACAATAGGTTTATCATAATGCCTAGAAGAGGCAGAAGGAAAGAGAAGACTCTGGTCATCTGGAACCCTTCTGATTCTCATCTGTAAAGCTATAAATCAGCCAGCCCGGCAATCTGAAGCAGCTTTTCTGAAGAGGCACTAATAACTTTAATAATTTTAGTGGGATTTTGAGGTATTGCAGCTGACTGGAAATATCTTTTTCACTGTGCAAGCACTAAATTTCATGCAGTAAACTAGAGGAAGATTAATTTGTTTCCACTAATGTCAGAACAAATTCAGAATTTGTTCCGAGTCTGAAACTGTGAAATGAGGCAGCTGTCAGCATAATTTACTCCTATCATTGCTGTGCCGGCAACTCATTGCAGTTTGGCATTTGCAGCTCTTTTCCCATTGTATACTAGTGTGAATTCTGCCAGCCTGCGTAAGTCCAAGGCGTGAGTACTGCCCATTTGACCAGGAATAGGGCACTTACACTCTTGCCTTCAGAATTGCTTCAGCAACATGAATCCTAGAGAGCTGCTTTCTCTCCTGCTGCATCTCATAGCTCTACAGCACGAGCACTGCCTGTGTCCTGGCCCCATTTGCATGTCCTCTACGTTAAGTCTCTGCCTTGCTGTGTTCCTTCAACAGAATTGCCTCCTTGCTGAACCCTACCTCAAAATTTCATCTGGATATTAAAATCAAATAGCGCTGAATCCTGTGCTCCAAACTACAGATATTCACCTGCACTGAATAATATGATGCTGATAGCTTGAGTTCTGTTTCTTGGTCTGCTAGAGCCTAAATCTGGTGATACGTGAGCGTGCAGAAAGTTCCTTTAGCACTCGGTATCCAGTTTTCCAACAGCACACCAGTGGCTGCAGGCTGTGCACTGGAGTGTACCAGCATGATATAACGTTTTGGTATCAAGTGGACACTAAAGAAGCATCGAAAGAAAATGCATTCCCAGGAGGAATTGCTGAGCCAAGCTTTGAGCAGTTCTCAGTAATGCTAGCACTGTGGTCTGATCATGATCATCCTGTTGAGGCCAAGTACGGCATTATTCCAGAAAATACATTAAAACCAGTTAAACTTCCCATGAGTTAAGAAGCTGTTCAGCTTAAGTGGCTCTCTGAGCTTCATGTGAAAGTAGTGGGATCCTAGCAGGAACAAGAGACAAGACTTGATCCGTTGTTTTTTTGGTTTGTTTTTTTTGTTTGTTTGTTTTTTTTATGGTGTTCTTGTCCTTTCTCCTTCTGTACCTGTTAGTATTTAGTTTTCTTTTTGTATTTATTTTCTCTCCCCCCCTTTTTTTTTTCCAATCCAGATTTCCAGCTTTCTCTCTGTCATTTTTGTTTGTTTATAACTTTGCCAAGTTCTTGATGGAGGAGTTGATCAGTTTTGCACTGAAGTGCTCTATGCGACTAGAAAGCAATCAAATTGATTCCTGCTCTGTTTCCTTAATAATCGACCATTACGTGAACTAAGAAGAAACATAGCATTTCCTAGCACTGATTGGCCTATGGCATTCCTAAAGAAATGTCAACTTCCCCCATTATTCCATGACATATGGTAGTTCATGATTTGCAAGCTGAAAAATGTGGCTGTACGCTTCCAGCTGAGAATTAGTACATTCCTTTCCTTTTTTTGAGAGAGAAGGAGCCCATGTCGTCAGCTGGAATAAGTTAGTACAGTTGCATTGCCCCTCTTCAGGGAAGGGCAACCCCATGAAGATCTGTCCATTAAAGAAACTGAGTTCATCACATTAACTAGTTTCATGTTGACAAAGGCACCAAACGTTTTTTTTCTCGGTTTATTCTTTAGTTTTCCCAATGTTAGTTTGTAGCTAAAAGGTAAGTACTCAGGTGGTTGTTCTCTATCAAATTCATTGGAGTCCTGGCCTCTACTATTACAAAATCCAAATGCTTTCCTGAAATGTTCATCAGAGACCACACTAAAACAGTAGGACTGGAAAACTGCCTAGTAACAGATGAGATCTGACTATACAATGTGATAAATATAGGACTGTTATGGCCTTGTTCTCATTCTGGAATTAAAAGTGTTTTTATTTGGCATCAAAATAAAATGTTAGGGGCCAATCAGTTTAGCAAGGATCTGTTGTTGGAGTGGGGAGAGGATAGTCATGGAAGTAACTGGGCCAGAGCACAGTTCTGATGAGCTCTGCTGCTGTGAGCTTGTTGCTGGAATATTTTTTCCAGCCAAAAGTTTATGTTTGTATAACCTATGTAGTACACTAGGGAGGCACTTTTGTAACAGAGACGGCAAAAGCAAAAACATGCAGACTCTTTAAATTTAGGGGAAAATACTAAAAACTGTTAAAATATCTTGTTTTGTGGAGGGTTGAGATAGGTAAGAACTTATAAGACTCATTTCAGCCACCTGCTATGAAAGCCAAGTAAGTTTGTTATACCATGTAGTTACAAAAGCTAGTTGAAAATAGATTAATTCTGAAAAGCTATCGCTATTTAGATTAGCAAACTGGAATTATCACCTGCCTATTTGGAGTCCAAGCTTAATGCTTATGACTGGAGAATATTGAGGGCCAACTGGAACAAGCGTGTCCTTTCATTGTAAAGTATACCCCTTAACTGATTTACTCTTCTGTAAAAAACCCTGCTGTTTTTGCTCCGGTGTATAGGTCATGCTAATTTGATCTGGCAGGCCAAAACAATATTTTTAGCCTTGTTTAAATGTATGAAACAGAAAAAATGCTGCAATTTTATTGTCTTGCTGCATCCTTTGCCATCAGCCAACCTGCCTCTGTCCCTCTTGTTGGCTATTGGGAGGCAGTGTGAAGGTAGTAGCCTCCCTTCCTCTGAAGGTGGCATGGTTGATTGGTAAAACACGAGGGTAGAACTCTGCAGAACTTTTGTTGCAAACCTCCTGTATGAGCTTGGTTAATCTATGGGAAGATTTCAAGGAAGGCTGCATGGCACTTGAACACGTTCTAGCCAGTAAATTTCTGGTTGAGTCAGCTGTATACTGCCATGCGTTCCCCACACTGCCTGCTCCCTAATCTTTCCCTGTTTTGTTAACAGCCCATCAGTCCTTCTGTCCTCTGTAAGTCTTCTGTCTTTGATTGCTGCCCATGGAACTCCATAGGATCTTCCCTTTCTTGCTAAGGCCATTCCAGACAAATCTTTTGTTCTCGAGTTTTCTATAATGTCTTCCTTCTGATGGAAGCTAGTTCACATTTAACTCGGTGTCTTTACTGGGTACAAAAGCTTATGTTCAAGGATGATTTTACTGAAAGGGTTGAGAACTCCCCTCCTCCCTTGTGTGCCTGCCTGGATTTACTCCTGGTGTTTGACCTACTTTTTGCAATTTCCCCCCAGCTGCTTGAGTTTACTCACTTATGCAAACATAAACATTAACATTGGTGGTGTTTATTAAACATGAACATGACTAAGACTAATCTAGTGAGGCGAAAATGGAGTGGCACACCAGAGCGCTGTCCACTGGAGAGCATTCTGCAGTGGTGTTATTTCACTGAACAATGTCACTGCGTTGATGATGTGAACAATTTACCAGACCCACTGTCTGCTCTCAGTAGACCCACCTGATCGGTTTGCACTTTGTCAGCTTAAAAGCAGTCAGGGATTCTGCACCAAAGATTTGTGAAAGGAGAGGCACACGGGGCCTTTAGGGAGGCCAGGTAAAAGTGGAATCACACCTTCCCAGTCCTGGAGAGAATGGGGTGCAAGGAAGCTGACCTCCTCTATTATGGAGATACAGTAATGCTTATTTACATCACATAAACCATTTTCTTGTTTACCCTGACATATTTTGCAAGAATATTTAAGGAAGAAAAGGACCTCTTTCCACACGGCTTTAATTCTGTTTTATTCTTAATATTGCACTGAGAGCTAAGTTGTGTTAACCTGGGTAGCAGCAATTGTATATCTGGCTTAATTAGGAAAGAGACTGTTTAGTCATTTGAGGACTGCTGTGCCCAGGCAGTGCTGAAGAGGTAAACCAACCCACATCTGTGCAGGCACACAGACAGGCCAGTGAGATGTTTATGTAAATCAGCATACACTTATTATCACTGTTTCTTTGTAGTCAGTTTGCCTAGCTGTTTCTTCAGCTTCCATTTTTTAAGTCTTATTAATTTCAAAACTGCCTATAACTAAAGTCTGAAGTCTTTGTGTAGTGTTTTTGATGGAGTTTTAGCATGGATTAAATTGTGGTTTTTTTCTTTCTTTTTTCCTTTTTTAGCATCGTAGACAAAGAAGTGTCATTAATGGCAGAAATCGATAAAGTTAAAGAAGAAGCCAGTAAGTAAAAAAAAAATACCCAAGAAACTTTTGGAATTGTCATGGAAACATTTGTTTTGTTTGGTGGAAAATTACACAGTGCATAAATTTGCTTAGCAGCATTCCAGCATCTTTCATTGTATATGTATACAATCAGAAAAGTCTTTGATGTTCCAGGATAGTTTCTGTATAGTTTCTATCTATAAGGATTGTGCATCAAAATTGCAATATTATGAAATTAAGGTAAACCAAAAATTCATATGAAGTTAGATTTAATTTATTTGTTCCTTCTGCTTGCTTATCAGAGCTTTTTGACCACTCTTTTTTTCCCCCTTATTTCTATGGTTTGTTGATTACTTCATTTCCATTTCTTAATCACTGTCTGCTTGCTTATATTATGTATGTGAGCAAGAGTACTGGAAATTACTAGGGGAATAGGTTATTGTGTGGTCTTGTATAGTTTTAAGGGATAGTGATCAAGCTTATGAATTAGAACAATAAAAAAATCAAAACCCAGCTGTTTACTGGAATCTGTTTTCTTAATAATCTGTGGGAGTTGATCTGATTCCAGGCTTTCATGTCATCTCTGTTTTTTGCATAGGTAAGGTGTATATATATTCTGGTTGGGGGGTGGGGGGAAGTGAGATGAGCCATGTATTAGAATACCACAATATCTGTCTTATACCCCATCTGAGATACGGTATTCATGGCCCAGTAATCAAGGGGATGTGTTTCAATAGAGAGTGCTAAGCAAGAAACTGAAGAATAACAGAAGTATTGTTAGAATGATGCTTTGGCAGTTGAAAATGGCACTGCTACATACGCATACAATCCTTTTATTGATTTATGAATTTAAGTTCCTTCCAAGGAGGGTCACAAATGCATGTAACATTGTTGAATGTTTCCCTTGCATTTAGCATTCTCACAAATGTATACTAGTAAATTTTTATTAAAAAAAAAAATCTAAATCCTTGCTGTTAGCCAAGTCTCTTGCAGCTGTATATGTGTGGAAACTAAAAAGTATGAGTTGTTACAGCAAAGATTGGCATTAGTTTGTGTTTGGAATTTTGTATGCTAACTTTTTTAGTACTAACATGAAATAGATGTGGATTTGGAGTTCTGTGTTATTTTGGGGAGGGGCTGTGGATGGAAACATATCAGCAGCTTTTTGGTTACCTGCAAAGACCAGGTAGCCATAATCAGCTACAGGGCATGCACTCAGTCCCAGGAAAACCAATGATAAAATTCCTACTGATATCAGCAGACACAGATCACACAGCCCTCTCTGCATAAAAAAACCCACACTTTGAAAATCCACCATTCAGGGCTGATGGTATCATAGGGCCCCTTCATTAATCTTGGCTAGGTATAGTAGTAATTTTTGTAGAAAGTAAAAAGTAAACCTAATTCTTATCTACAGGCATGTGAAGTGCTGCATTTGCACATGGCAGGTTCTATTTCCCTGCTTTCATGCCAACTCCTCATGTGACACTGGATGGCCCCTGTAACTGTCTTTAACAGTATAGTTTCTGCTGTCTCTCAAGGCTGTTGTAGGCTTGTAAAGTGCCTCAGAACTTTAGGCAGAAAGTTGTTATACAACTGTAACATGCTAACCAAGATTTACATTATTATTTATTTTCACATCTCTTTGCTGCACTGGAGGACTGCTTTACAGTGGGTAATCTTCCTGTCAATATTTGGAAAATTTCCAAATATAATAATTTCAGGGTTTTTTTAAAAATGAGTATTTGGCTGGCATCTCATGTGGAGATAAGTGCCAGGATGAGATGAGATCATGTGGTTTGGGCAGTCACTTCAGCAAAGGGGATGCTGACCTTGGGGAGAAACAACATTAGCATAAGCAATAAAGCTGAACTATTGGACAAAGAAAAATCTGATAAAGGTTTATCAGACTTGTAGACCATATTCCACAAAATGAAATTAAAAGATCAGCTAGAGAGATAGATAACATACCTCTTCTTAGCCTAAGTAATAACATAGGCACAGATTTACCAACAGGGCTAAAGGAATTGTAGCTACCCTCTGCCTTCCCTGCCCTGTGTAACACACACTATGGTATGGTTTGGTTGCTCCCACACAGCTGTACAGCTGCAGCTCTGGCTCCCTGTGCCTGCTGAACCACTGCGGCTGGATGGGGCTCTGAGCAACCTGATCTGGTTGAAGATGTCCCTGCTCATTGCAGGGGGCTTGGACTAGGTGACCTTTAAAGGTCCCTTCCAATCCAAACTATTCTATGATTCTATAATACTTTCAAAAGAAGGTGCCATCTGGTTAAATAAATGATAATGGTTTGAGAAACAAACTCTCTGTGAAATATCATTAATTCTCACCTAAAAAAATATATGAGCTGGTTGGGTGACTTGCCAAGCCTGCTCTGGAAATTTTTGGCAAAGGAAGGCAAAGAAGCCAAAGCCTCCACAGCTGTAACGAAGTCTGTGGCCTTAGGATAGTTTACAACTACCGCTCACCCTGCCTGTAGTCATAAGCTCTAGACAAAAGACTATGACTGTTATTATTTTACATTTAAATACTATCTATCTGCCATAAATGCTGATCCCACCAGCCAATTAATCAGTTGTTTCTTTTACATTGAGTAACCATGTAGGTAATAGAGTTTGTATATATTTAATTTTCCACCACAATTGTAATGCATGTAAGTGGACTGTTGCTTTGTGGTTCATGGTTAATCTTTTCCTGTAAGAATGTAACTCTTCACCCCTTCCTTATATAAAATATACAAGATGCGCAGTACTGAATATTTAGTATTTTTTCATAAATACTTTTGGCCATCGTAATACTGCTTTGCTATAGAAATGGCAACTGTGTATACTCTGTACTTGAAAGCAAAATTGCAATGCTGGTGATTTTAATGTAAATGACATATGAACAGATTTTTTTTCAGAGGAACAGAAATGCCCCTGTATAAATAAAATATAGCATGTCTTCAGAAACATGGCTTTTGACCTAACATAATACTTCTTTCTATGTGTCCATGAAAGGCTTCCCAATTTTGTCCTTTTGAAAATAAAGCACTGCAAAACTCAAAACAATATGTCTCTGCCCCTATTTGTCTAAATGTTAAAGGATTGGTTTAACTTTGATTTTCTGATAGCTATCCTATTTCCAGATCTTTTTCAACATCGGGCAGTTCAGTTAAATATGATGATTGACTTAATCTGTGCAAGCAGCGTATTGGAAGTCCAGTTGAAGTTCGGGGTCTAAGATGCGTGTGTCACATGTGATGTACAGTGCTAATGCCCAAAGAGTAAAGAATTACAGAGCAGTTTACCTTCCTAGCACTAATTATTGACTATTGGTATTTGGCAGTGGAAATCCTGACTGCTCGCCAGAAGAAAGCTGAGGAGCTGAAGAGACTGACGGACCTAGCCAGTCAGATGGCTGAAGCACAACTGTCTGAACTCAGGGCTGAAATTAAGGTCAGGCATTCACTTCTGCTTGGGTTTTTTAGCTGTTTGCATAAATGCCGAGAAAGAGCTATCATGTTAATATGCCCAGGCTGTTCATTCAAAGGGTAACTAGCTTTCCATGGGGAAAGCATATCTTCTTAAAGCATTATAGCACCTCTGAGCAGTGTAAAGACACCATCAGAGAAGCTATCCCCTCGTAAGTGGAGCAGTGGGGAGTGTTGCTGTTTGTATCATTCAACAGACCCAGTTAACAAGTAAACCTGATAGCTTCAGGTTCAGTGATCAAACGCATATACTCTGATGAAATGACCCAATTCTCAAGTGCAGGACTGATCCACCCATGGCTGGGCTGCAAGACATGTAATTTGGTAAGGATGGGAAAATACTTGGTTCTGCATAGAGAATCTGTGTACAGGGCAGGGTCAAGAGTTTGCTGAGCCTTAAAGTGAACTTACGATAAGTATTGATTGGTTTGCGTACCATCCATATAGCCTTTTGCTCAGAATGCCAATCACTGTTAACTCGTCTGTATTTTTACAGCACTTTGTGAGTGAACGGAAATATGATGAAGAGCTGGGCAGGTCTGCCCGATTTTCCTGTGATACAGAACAGCTGAAGACCCAAATTCAGCTCTGTGGAGAGAGTAAGTGCTGATGATTTCTCCCACCAAACTTCTCTGAACATAGTGTTCCACATATGTGTTCAGGAAATGCCAGCAGAAATAATGGCGCGTGTACCACCAGTGTGTGTGTCTGTGTGTGTGTGTGTGTGTGTGTGCAGCAAGCCTGACATGAATGGTACATCTGGGTGCAGCAGTTTTGATGAACACGCACAAGTTAACTTTACAGTGTGCAACACATTAGACTCACTATACATGTGCTGCACAGTACAGTGCCCGCTTTGTACTCAGATCGGTTGGAGTTTTCCATCTAAACAGGATTTCCAAGTGGAAATAAAAATCAGCTCTGGGGAATACTCAAATTCAGTAATTTGTGAATAACTAGTAAATTGGAAGCTTCTCTGTGTGAGCATAATATTATGGGACCAATTCAGATCTTTCCTGCTAGGAAGTAACTCCCCAGCTTTATAACAGTATTTACTGGGTTTTTCTGGAGCTAAAGGTAGTCCCAAATGTTCCTGTTTCCAAATCATCTGCCCTTCAGCTTGGAAATTCAGGTTCATTTTCTGCTTCAAGTATCATGTCCCTGTTGCAAAATATGAGATAGCCTATTTCTCATCTTTGTCATGCTTTTTTTCCCCAAAAAAAGTAAGTGCTATAATGCTTTGCCCAAATTGTTACCCTGTTACCATGGTATCCCATCAGTACCATCACTCAGGAGAAAAACTGTTAACACAATACTGACCTAGTGCATCTTGGCAGAAGGAAAACAATTTCAGGAAGAAAAACTATTAATGTTTTCAAGGATTTACTAGAAATAGAGATAAGACAAAATATCACACAGTCTGCCAATATGATCTTCTACCGCACAGCTAAAGAACTGACTCCTTTGAGGCATAACCAGTTTAATTCATTAGACCATAAGAATTGCTTTTGCAGAACACTTTGAAGATCCATCTAACCCCATATCCTGTTTCTCATTGAAGCCTACCCAGGATGTTTCAAAGGAAGGCATAAGGCATCCCAATAATGCATCTAATTCTTCACAGTCACCTTATAGACCCTATCTTATACCCTGAAGCTTAAGAGATTGAAAATTCTGTAAAGGTTATCGTGATTAATATAACCACAGCTGCTATTGATGCAACCATAGACTATTTTTTTAAACTCATTGAACTACTTTCCTGAATAACTTCCAGCTGCAGTTAATTCTGGAAGTTAATTATTTATACCTCATTTCAGTAAAGCATTACTTAAGCATAGCTTGATGCAGACCTGTTGAAATCAGGTCAGTGAAGTCAAAAGAACAGCTCTTAGCAGGGAAGCAGTGCCATCTTACAAATGACTGATAGTGCACTGACTGAAGAACTTGGCTCTAATCTGCCCTCAGTGACCTTAGATGAGCAACTCATGCTGTTGGCATGTCTGGTAAGAGCTCTTCGGTGAAAAAGATGTTTCTGTTTGGAGCATCTCACAATGAGGCCCGTCCCCTGCTAGGAGCTGTGAATACCCCTCAAACAGAGATTATACCAGGCCTATAGCTAAGAACAGCCACTGTTGAGGGCTTTAACAAAAGCAATAATCAAAACCACAGAGCTTGTGCAAAGGAGGGCATGTTCTAGCAAAAGAAGAGGGTAGGCAGCATACACTCACAATGAAGGACAGGAAGAAACCAACATACTTGGACTGACATATATCCAGAATGCCCAACAGTGGGTTGTACCCCTTCCTTGTATATCTTTTTTGCTAAAAATATATTTTTATGACAAGCATCTGGATTTTTATGTGGGCTTCCATGTGCAGCAGTCTTATTTTAGACAGTGGAATTCAGTGACAGACAGCCTCACTGAACTTAGGACAGAAAATCCAGTTCATTGTGCAAATCATTGCATTGTTTTTCTGAAGAGGACACCTAGTGGGAGAAATAGCTAATGTTGGCAAAAGTAAGAGCCTCAAAAAACTTAACAGATGATGCTCAGTTGCTAAAATTATTCCGCATCTTTTTCCTCTGTACTAAAAGTGGAAAAACAGAAGTACCTCTTAGATAAAACAACAGGTGTCTCACTGAAGTGAGCCTCTGGTTTGTCATCTGTACCAGAAAGAAAGAGGAAAATTCCATAATCAGAAAAATCAGAACAGCAAATTAAGATCAAGAACTTTACTTCAATAGCCTGAGAGTCCTCTTTGAGACTGGTTAAGGGCCATTGCACAGAAGTAGGCAGCTTGAAGAGCTTGTGGAAATGCAGAGAGGTAGAAATCAAGGATTTGTTTGTTGCACTATACATCCAGGCATGGAAGCGGGTAAGAAGTCAGGCGGTCTCAGAATACTAAGAAGTAGGGAGCAGGAATACACTGAGATGAGCAGTAGTGGTTCCTGATGGTGCTCACTGCCAGGATCTGCATGAAGTGGATTAATGCATTGCATTCAATTCCAGTTTTTGTAGGTATCCATGGTACATAAGAACCTTTGTTAACCATCTCCTTAGAGAGGAATGAGCAACAGGCACTAGCCTTTCTTTTTTTCTTCTTCTTAAAAAATATTTAGACATACTAAGGAAGCTTTCACAGCTGTTACCTGTTTTGTAGCTAGTACATATATAGACAGCAAACATCAGCCTCTTCAGCCTTCGATGATCAAAGAATAGTTTGGAATCAAATTTAGTCTGTGGTGTCTGCAGGCACAACTTCCTTTGACCTCTAGCAGTCAAGAGCGTTACTGGCATACCACTCGCTTCCTTCCCGTGTCTCTTCCTTTGTTGCCTGAAGACTCACGTTGGGAGCATTATTGATAGGACAGCAGTGCATGGGGCAGTCCTGACAGCGCATGTTCAGTTCAACTGGTTAAAAGTTCTCAGGTAAACCAGTAGGTGCCACAAATTTTGAAAAGTTTTCTTGGATGACCAAAGCCTAGCCTTCTGCCAGGCTTCTTCCAATTTTAGCGCAGTTCCACCACATTGGCCCTTTCGTCTCCAGAGCTTCACGATGAGGCAGTTCCACAGAAGTAAAATGCTGTGGCCTAATTCCAACCCTAGTTATCTAGCTTACTTCATTATTTAGAGTAAGGCTGGAACGATGCGACCAAAATTAACTGTGAGCAGGGTAAGAATATAGCCTTATGTTTAGATGTTGATCATTTAACTGATAACACAGAATACTTTTTTTTTATAGTTTCTCACCCAAAGAACAACTATTCCTCAAGAACACCATGTAGTTCAGTGCTGTCTTCAATGGCCTCACATGCAACAACTGGCAAGCAAAATACGCACACACGCAAGTCCTCTAGTAATGCCAAGAACTTTGATAATAAACCAGCCAGCCCTAAAGTACAAAGTCATCTTTCTTCCAGTCCTACAGAATCTTCTTCCCAAGGAATCCCAACAAATAAGCAGGTAAGAAACCAGTTATGAAGTAAACTAAATTACTTCTAAAATTTCAGAAAAATATGCAGCACTGAAAGTTGTTAATACAAAATCAAATACTGGTTTGCAGTCTGTATATTTAATTAATAATTTTTTTAAAATATGCAAATATGTATTTTCCAGCTTCATTTTCAAGGCTGTGTGAACACACAAGGTGGACATACCAGAAATGCCATACCAGCAAAGACAGCTGTCTGGTGTTCAGAAATGACTAGTGGCAGTTAATAGACTGAAAGAGAAAGCCCCTCCATAAGACCTAATTGCCCTACATGCTACAATGGAGAAACATTTATTCCTGATCCTTGACAAATGATCAGTTGGTGTGCGCTATTGAAGCATGCTTGTTAGATAGACTTTGAAAGTGGAATCCTGCCAGGTTTAGAAGCATATTATTTCAGAAGCTGTATAATACAGCTTATAGCATTGTGCTATATTGGTAGATATTTCATTATAAGAGCACCTTTGAATGTCCTTGTACTGTTGTGCTTAGGTAAAGCTGCCACTGAAGTTGGTCTGAATTTTGTCCCCAGAAGGATTTTAGGCTCAAGTAGGTGCCTGAAGGGAAACATAGGAGCATTACATGATGTTAGTGCATGTATGGAATCAGCTGCCCCGGCAGTCATGCAGATAAAGCAATTCAGCCACTTCCCACTGAGGATCAAAGCTTCCTCTGAGCGAGAGATCACAATGAACATCTCTCCCACCATGTGGATTCTTAACTTGACTTCAATTTACGTGTGAATTTCTGCTCTTCCTGCAGTCCTTACTGTAGTATTTACACAATACTTTACTAGAAAGGGTATTTTCATGATTTTGGAAAAAAAAATCAGTCAGTATCAAGTTCTTCAGTGCTTCTTAACTGCTGCTGTTGAGATGTCTTTTCTGTATTCTGTTGAATCATGGCAGATTTTAATTTGGCATCAGTGGTGAACCTGCCATCTCTATTTCCAGGCTACTTGATGTAGCATGTTACTCATAGTTCAGTTTTTAAGTGTTAGAAATAGAGATCTCCAGCAACAATCAAAACAGTATAGTGTTTTCCCTCTCCTAGTTACACTGAAAATTCTATTCTGCAACTTTTGTTAATTCTGATTGCTGTATTTCTTGTCCTGTTGGAAGGATTCAGATTACCTAACAGTTATCCAATTTCTTTCTGGGTAGAATGGGCCTTCTAGCCAGAGACGAAGATTCAACCCACAGCACCAAAACATCCGGCTCAATGGATCTCTTAAGTCACAAGGTGCCAGTAATGAGGGAGATCAAAATAATATAAAGAGCAACACAGAAGACAGCAGCACAACAGCTTCAGATCTAAAAATAAAGGAGCTATGAAAAATCAAGAGCAGTCCACAACTACAAGGACCACAGAGAATCCGACACATTCGGAAAAGACCCGACGAAAGCATCATACACCAGACAGGCCTTTCCAAGGCAGTGTTGGCAGGGTGTCGCAATGCAATTTATGTCCTACAAGGATGGAGGTCTCTGCTGATGCCACTGTTCTTTCAGTGCCAGCTGTGACTTTGGTGGCTTAAAAAGTCACGGTGACAGCAGGCAGAGAAATTTAATCTCTTCATTTTAGTTTCTTGCTCGAGATGCTTGTTGGTGAAGCAAAATAAGTCAGAACATAGTCATTTTAAATCTGTTGCTGCTTAAAACTTGTTGGTATCTTTATTACTAATTATCAAAATTAATTCACACTTTCAAGGCTTTGCCCAATATGTTGTTATTTTGTCATGACAATACAGAACCTTACCAAAGCAGCATTTACTTTTTAGAAAAATGAAATCTAGATTGGAAAAATAAATTTATAATTAAGTTCATAATAGCAAAAACCTGTTGTAGATATGTGGTTATACCAGTCAACATTATTGTTTTTAGAGCAGCCTGTGTTAGAAGGATCCCAGGAAGTCTGTATGCTGTGGTCTGCAATGAAATCAAATAATCCTGTAGAATTTTTCAGCAAATCTCTATACACCTCTTTCTTTCTGTGCGTGTGTACACGTATATGCATGCACACTGTATACACAGAGAGTATTGTTATATACAAGAATATTTGAAAAAGCAGTACATTTGATTTTAGCTTATTATTCCATAATCTGAGATCTTTAAATTCAAGTATAAATTGTATTAAATGTATTACATATTGGTATTTTTCATTGACAAACTATTTTTATGAAGCTGAGGAAAAATGCTCATTTCTTAAGTTTGGAATGTATATAGTCATGGCTATTCAGATGCACAGCCCTATTCACCATCCTTATCAGCCACTTTTCTATGACTAGTTGGATTTATTTTTTTGCATATGAAAAGTTGCAGGTGTTCTAGACTTGAATCCAAATTATTTTTCTATATTTTTGCTGTAGGAACCATCTGTCCATGACGAGAGCTATGATTAATAAATTTGTTACGGCAACATGCAGCAGAATGTGGAGGTACATATTTGAGCAGATACTACATCCTTCTGAGTTTTCTATTGAAATAAAAATCTTACTTAGTCTTAATGTTCCAATTCTGTATTTCAGAAAACCTGTTTCTTCAACAAAATTAAAACCTTCTTTCTAAAATATTCTGGTGTTTGCTGCTTTGCAGTGCCTAACCTTGGTGATCTTATCCAAACTGTTTGCTTAATTCAACTGGTATCAGTGGGAAGTTTTCAGCCAGTTTGGATTGGACAAGGCTTTTTCGTTTAGCTAGATTCTAATGCCACGAGCGCACGGAACAGAACCTTCCCATGAGAGCCGCCTCCACCCTGGACATCCTTTTAATATAAGTTACTTTTTAACATAGTAAGGTGTCAGAATCCAGACCTGGCATCAAGTGAACTACTGGCCTAAGTGTCAGAATAAGAAAGGGGTAAAAGGTCGCTTACAGAGGTCAGTAAGAGCAGGACACTTTATCTTTAAAAGTTTATTCCTAGGTTATTGGTTGCTATTGCTTTTTACCAGTTTCCTCTGCCTCATTTCTGTTAGCTGACTGGACACTTCCTTAGTACTGACCGGTTCACTTGTCCTCTGTGGCCCTTGAAAAATAACCTCAAAGTGTAGGGTGAGGTGCCTTCCTTATGGGTGATTTTGATTATTTTTATTTCTCTTTGTATCTGTGTACAGTTTTCAACATATGAATATTGGTAAAACCTGATTCTAAAAGGCAAATAACTCATCTTCATCTGGAAGAGTGGTGAAAGAAAAATAAACATGCATAGGTAAACACTGGCTTTTTTAGCATTGCAAGCAGTGCTTCTATCCTAGTTGATTACCTATCGTGCTTTTAAGCTGAATGTTTGGAGTAAATGGAACTGAAATTCCAGAATCTGTGTTGTGCACACCCATCAGATAGGTAGCTTTTCAAAATTTATCTGCTGCCTTACAGTTTCACCTGTAACCTCGCTGTAAGAGATGCAGTTGTAATTTCCATGCAGATATTACACAAGAATCTTATTATATTGTCCTTACCCAATTGGTGAAATTTATTTATTCTTTATATCTATTACTTATTATTTATTTATTCTGTATATATTACTCTTCCTGTAATCCCTCCTAAAAAAACCCAAAATCTAACATCTATAATGACTTTTACTCCCTCTTTTATAGCTTCTCCACTTGACAGGATTATTGAAAGTTATTTTATTCTGTAAGTCAGTTTCTCACAAGCAGGTTTCTGCAAATAAATAAACCCTGTAACATCAGCTGTAACTCAGCACAACAGGACCACCTTGCGCTCTTCAGTACTAGCTAACCTTGGATGTACCGGAGGGTCAGTATGTGACAGGCCCAGGACTAACAGGTGAGAAACAGCATTTCTCTTCAGACTGTGATGCAAACACATTTTCTGTGATGAGAGATGCAAGTGTGGCTTTGGTTGGGCTGGGGAGTGGGCTGATTCTGGGAACACTGACCTCAGTCTTGGCGCACCAACCGTGGGTTCGTATTGCAATACGCAGTTTAACTACGTTACATGGCTGTGCTCTGAAGTGTAGCTGTGTCAGAATGGTATCTCTTCATCTTTCATTTCTGGTGTCTCTGTGTGCTTGGGATTATATCTGCCAATTTCTAGGAGTGTTTTACTGTTCACAATACTTATAAGTAATTGGATGCTCTTGGGCCCATCTTCAACAGAACTCTTTTTTTTTTTTTATCTTCTAACTACAGAGCTAGCTATGTGTGATATTCCTTTTAACATGAAGGATTTGTACAGGGGGTCAGTGAGGGAATTAAGGGCAGGACAAGGCTTGACTTTCAGGCCAGCCTTCTTTTTTTAAAAAGCGCCCTCAATTTGCAAAGCAAATACATCTGTTTGGCATCCCTCAAACACAAACATTGAATTCCCACTGCACTTTGT